CACTAAAAAACATGAGCTACAGTACAATCAGAAGGGCACTGAGGCTCCTGAGTCCACCAGAGAGAGTTAGGTCTGTGGCTCCATCTCGACAGCCCATCCAGTTTGTCAACACAACATAACTACAGTCATCATCCAACAACATTACCTTTATTTCAGAGGCCACGACTTAACACAAATGAATGGTAATTTGCATTGTATTTTTACAGAATCATGCATATATGATCAGACAAATCATGCCCTCTGACTTATACATTATATACATTTTGTGTTGTTCGCTGAGCGATGTATATAATAGTGAATAAACATATGACAGGAAAATTGCATACACAGTAATAGGTCAAGCAAGTGCCACTAAGTATGATGAGAATGACCAGTGGTTGATCAAGCAAGTGTCGCTAAATATGAAAAGAATGATGACTAATGGTACAGAGCTGAAATCATTGTTTGACCCAGTTCTTGAGTTTTTGACATTAGTTCTGTATAAGTTAGAACACAATTGTGCAAATATATTCAGACAAATGACCCCATCTGATTTGTATGTTCAGTTAACAACATCCAAGACCTTTATAACTGCAAAGAAACAGATGACGATGACGGACAGTATGATGAGGATAATGAGCCATGGTACATAGTTGAAATCATTGTATTAAGCAGTCCTCGAGATGTTGATATTAGTTTAATAGACTTCTCTCTCTACTGAGAGTGAAGGAGAAAGAGCACATTAAACAAGGAAAGGATGTCATCGTAAATAAAAATTTAGCGGATATCCATCTCTGTTTTATAAAATAAGGAACTCTAGAAAATTGTGTCCAATCCAAGATCTTAATCTCTATTTTTACATTATTTGACTTTTGAAAAAATCTTTCACAAGACACTTAAATGCATGCAAGAGTAAGAAGTACTTATACATATAGAAACATTTTGTATATACAGAAGGCTGCAGGTTATGATTATGCAAAATGTTACAGCATTAAATAAGGCAGTTCTGACGCGCTATATGTTTGATGTCAGTTAGGTCTTTATTCTCAACAAAATCATTGTGTAAATACTGTATTTTAAGGACATGTTTTCTGTAGAAATTGATATTTTTCTTCTGAGAAGTCCAATCTTAGAACAATATCAACTGAGTTTGCAAAGCTTATGTAGTACTGTTGCTTTGTTTGACCTGGCTAAACTGTTAAGGTTCTGTATAAATGTTAGTACAAATCCAGCATTATCAGTCCACAAGTGAGTTACCAACGCCTATATACTGTAAATCACACCATTCATACTGTGCCACAGGATATAGTTTAATTTCTAGTCAGTTAATTATTGCTTTAGGTTTTTCTGGTTTACTTACTAAAAAAAACAGCTGCCTAAATCTCAGCATTACCAGTCCAAAAGAGAGTGAATGACCTTCAAATAAATGATATACATTTTGATAAATTACATGTTTTTTTTAATTTATAGTCAGTAAACATTTTTTCGAGAGTTTTATTTTTAGGCTGATTGTCACCTGATCAATGACTACATTATAAACCTGATATTGAAACCAATCAAGGGGTTAGAAATGGGTTCATCCTAAGGGGTTGTTGGTGGGAGATGGAGGTCAGGTGATCCAACGTCAGCCCTTTTTTTTTCATCACGTATGTCACAGCCAGGTGGTAGTCATCAATCATTTTGTGACTAGCTAACGTTACTGTGCACAGTGAGAATTGACAGGAAGGCATGACTGGTGACCCTGGTGGTAGAATGATCAACTCAGACAATATATTGACAGTTACAATGACAGACAGAAATTAGTAATTAATGGCAGAGTCTACCTAGCTATTTTTTAAATGCATTTTTAGGCCACATACTCTGGGCCCACCAGAGGATCCCCTGGTCCTCCAATGAGCCAGTCCACCTCTGGCTACAGTCCATCCTTTCCTACACCCTGTACCTGTCTCTGGATCCCTAAGATTGACTGGTGGTCTTACTGACTAATAGTGAGGTAGGGCCAATAGGTTTTCTAATAGAGACTTGCAGTGGGTTTAAATTGCAGATGTGCAAGCTACGGCTTATTCCTAACCCCTTTATTCACATTTAATAAAGAGGCCGTTCTAGTTAACCAACATATACACTATTTTTTGCATAACCATATTTTATTGAACAAATAATTAAGCTGCCAAGCTAATTGATGAGGAACTTTAATACTTTTTAATTGTAATATTACATAACAAACATTTTTACATCAACAATTACATATTAAAATGACAACACAAAAAAATAACAATAAATTATAAAAAAAAAAACACCCACAAATACCAACTGTATACAATTCCTCAAGATGCCAATATACATATCCTACATTTCTTCACACATTACCAATATCAGACAGATCAGATATTATAAACAAACTCCCTTACTATATTCAATCCACTTACTGTATACCACATTTTACCAAATGTATCCATGCTACCTCTATGCTTAAACATAATTCTCTCAAAACCAACCACTCTATCTAATTCTTTCTTCCATCCCTCCACTGTGGGAGGCGCTACTGAAATCCACCTAGAGGCTATACTGCTCCGAGCAACAAACAGTGCCCTCGTTATAGCCACCTTCTTATAGTACTCCACATTTAAGGATCCAAACATTTCCAATATACATATCATTGGATCATTAGAAATATGAACTCCAAAAGCTATATTTATTATGTCCACAATTTCCTGCCAATATCGTTTCAGCTTTGGACATCTCCACAACAGATGTATCAGCAAACCTGGTTCAACCCCACATTTTGGGCATTTAGAGTTTTCCCTGAGTCCTATCTTATATAGGAATTCAGCAGTCTAATATGTTCTATGTACAATATAAAGCTGTGTTAATTTATGTGATGCAGAGGGTGAGACTAATTGGATTGAGAGCAACGCCTCCCTGCATAGGGAATCATCTAATGGACCCACAACCAGTTCCTAACCCGCTTTACATTTCATGGGTGATTTATTTAGAGCCCAGGTAATAAGCTTGAATACATCTTTTAAATCAATCTTCTTGTCATAGTTGCATTAAAGAGTTTATCTGTACCCATATTTTTACTAATACAAACCTCTCAGACACCTGAATGTACCATAAGCGCATGCCTTAATTGTAAATATTTATAAAATTGGCCATTGGGTAGTGAGTAAATTGCTTGTAATTTTTGGAAAGAACACAACACCCCCTGATCATATAATTGGGCCAATGACAGAATCACCATTTTCTTCCACATTCCAAATCCCTGGAGTTTGTTTAAACTTTCATATTTAGTAAATAGTGGAAACCCCAACCCTATGCTTTCTGTAGCTGCTGATCAGACCGACACTGATTAGGAGGTATTTTATTCTGTTAATGTGAATTAGACTGCTTTCTCATTTCTTTCTTGAACATTACACTTCAGATCACGTTACAGCATATAAGGTCTCGTTCACACCTAGGCGTATTGCATATGCACGTCTGTCGCACGACCGTTGCACGTTTTTTTTACCGAGATTCGCGTTTCCGTCGCGCGTTTCCAAAGGCTACTTGGCTGTATCCCAATGGAAACGCACAACAAAACGGCCCAAAGTAGTACCTGTACCTTTTCAGGCGTGGGCCGTTTTGTAGCCCGCTAGGGACTGGCGGAAATACGCCAAGGTGGGAACGAGACCATTGAATACAATGGGATTTATATTTTTGAGCGTTTTGTAGAGCGTTCGTCGAGCTTAGAACGCGCTACAAAACGTTCAGGTGTGAACGAGGGCTTAATGCTTTGGCTGATTTAACATAGGACTTTTTTGTCAACCATTGTTTTTGATAATTGTCTGTTGCGACACCAAATTGTTTTTTTTTTTCTTCTTTTTGATCACAAATTGGAGTTGGAAGGATTCTGCAATGACTCGAGCAGCAGAACCCATTAACTGCTCCAAATGTAGATGGCCGAGAAACCCACATTGAACTGAAATACTGACACCTGCAAAGTGTTATTAATCTTTTAAGATCACTTTAACAATTTTTAGACTTTCTTGAATAATGTGATTTAAAGATTATACACAGAACATATCCTACTACTGAGACAGCTAGATGACTACTAGGAGTGCAGGCAGCTAGCATACCTGGTAGCCTTTATTAGGGAAATATAACTTTAATATCTGAAAAAACCTGATTCTGCTGCCTATAGATGAGGCACTACAGAGTCTAATAAAAGAATGCAATATGCTGTATAGTAAACATTACAGCTCCACAAGGACATGGTTGCAGAATAGCTTGCTGGCTTGTAGTTTCTGTATCTGTATTGTTTGCTCAATGATTTAAGAACCTCTCTAACATTAACAAGAAACCTTTTGTCTGCATGTCTATCATAGGTGTACAATATCAAAAGCTATTTACTGTATTGATGTTGGTTTTTTTTTTCTATTTCAATTGTGAAATAATAAAACTGGGGTTGTATAGCGTGCAAAGTGATGCAGCTGTCAGCCTTAAGATTGGAAAGTGTGTTTTCTTTTCTGTGAAATAATGTTAGCATGTTAGTTGCTGAGGAGGATTTTGTTTTTTTCCCTTCAAAATATTGACACCAGACAGGTGGATTTGTGTTTTTTTCCTTAATGTTCACTGTCCAGCCTGTGACTGGACAGTGAAATGAGAAGCAGGACAGTGATGAGCTCATCTCTCTGTCACTTTTTCAGTACCTATCTGCATGCTTCTTGTCAGCTTGGGAACTGATTGACTGCCTGTTCTGCTTCTTCCTCTTACACCCCCAGCCCTCTATATAGGGACTGTAAGAGGCTGATACCAGGTCACGTTAAGGAACTTACACTGCTTTTACTTTAAAAATATACCGTTTAATGATGCTGCATTAAATTGTGTCTTTTATTTCTGCCTAGAGTTTTTATCTTTAAATATCAGAATATTGCTCACATTCATACATGTACAGCTAATCTTCATATGTATGCTGTAAAGAAAAATGTGATAGACTCTTTGAATAATGCCATGCCTCTTTGTATCTCCTTCTCTTTTCTAAGCGGTGTGTTTATACCAAGGCCAGCTGTACTTTGAAGGAGAAAGGCAAATATCCTATTCTACTTCTGGAGTGTGCGTGCTCTTTGAGTGCAAGGTAAGCTGCTGCTTTATTTTGTGTTGCTCGGGCAAAGTTACCATCTTTTCTATAACATATTAAACGTGTATTTGTAACATCAATACATTTAATCTGCAAAAATAGTTTACCATGTTTTGTCTGGAAGCAGACTCGTAAGTTTTGGAAGTAAAATGTCTTTATTCTCTTTAGCAACCATGTATAAACCAGACTTTATTATTATTTCTTGAGTGCTTTTTTCAAATTGAAAGGTGTCTTACATTTTTTTTATGTAAATAGATTAGTAGTTAAAGCTCAGGTGTAACCTTTTTTTGTGTGGATAGAGTGGGGAATAGAGAGTTGACATCACATGTGACAAATCCACTTGGTTCATATTGCAGCAATGATAAATACATTAAAGTAGTACTAAGGTTTAGGTGTTTTTTTTACATGAATGCATTCTCTGCATTAAGTTAAAAAAAAACACCCAGTATCTTTCTATGTCACCCTGTCCCCAATACTTACCTCCAGTCACTTGTCACCTCCGCCGCGTCGGGGAAGATCTCACTGCTCCACAAACTTCCTGGTTGTTGGGAAGGGTACTGAAGGCAGAGGAGGCATATGTTCTCTCATGGTGGAGGGAACAAGGGCATGACTTGCCACAGGCTGTGTGTGTATATGGACGCACACAGTCAGGCGGGGTCACAGCCCAGGAATGCGCACGCACGGGTGTCTCCTCATCACCCGACTAGCTAAAGGAGATACCTACAACAAATGGAGGAGGGGAGCAGTTTGGCGAGCAACTGAAGGACATTCAAGTAAAGCAATTTAAAGCAGAAGAACTGGACAATCATGCAAGTGTGGGCTTTCTCTTTATAAAATTAAAAAAAATCTAAAGTTTAATATCACTTTAAATATTTCAGTTATACCATTAACTAAAAATACCTTGGCAAATAAGAAAACATAATGTACATTTTGGTGGCTAGGGTAAACCCACATTTTTGTTCACAGATTATTTATTAAAGCCAATTATAATACAGTTGCATTATCCATTAACAATTTTTCTCTAAAAACTGACACCCACAAGAAAAACTGTAAGCACATAAACAGATCATTACCAGCCCAAAGAGGCATGCTCTTACTTACAAGAAAACTGTAATTGAAATATATGTGTATATGTATATGTGAGGCACTGGCTAGCAGGATTGTGGATGGGGTGTGTGTATATGTCACCTAGGTTTCTCATATGTTCATGGTGATGGTATTCAGGGCTTGTGGCTGATGTGGAGAAAACAAACTTTTTTCTTCACAGAATCGTAATACGTTTGGACTCTCTTGCTCTCTCTGCTGTGGGAGCCTGCTGCTGAGTGAAAAGGCTTAGTACTAACAAAAAACTAAAAAGATATACTGTAAGCGCTGCCTGCATGTTTTTGGGCAACCCATTAAGGGGTACCCTGTTAGTCAGGAGCTGACCTGAGTTTCATTAGTGGCTCGGAGGAACAGATGTTTTGTTTGTTTTTTGCTATGGACTTGATGTACAAATCCCTCCTGCATTGAACCCCGCAGCCACACCTCAACAAAGGGGCCAGTTCTAGTGACATCATTGACCTTTTATGGCCACATAGACATATCTGGTCAGTGACACTGAAAAGGAAAGCTCATCCCTAGTCCTGAAAATAATGAAGTATGCGCAAAGCCACTATTCCCATACAAGCAACACCAAAACACCTGTTTTCCTTAAATGTTAATGTTCTCCTGTATTGTTCCTGACATCAGTTAGTGAAAAATTTTTACAAAAATGCTTTTTGCTTTATTTTTTCCATACAAGTCAAGGTAAATGCTTCTTAAATGCATCCCAAACTGATTCCAAAGGCAAGCTGTAAAGGCTCTTACATGTGGATGCCCGCACCCATACAACATAAATACTGGCTTATTTCCCCTGCCAGAGCCACGGGTGCTGCATAAAGCCTCCCGTATAAGGTAATAGCTGTACGTGGCTGTAAGTAGGTATACGCAGGTACTTCCATAAACCTGTGCATATTCACGAATGGACAGCTTTGAACTCAGACTGTTTGCATCCAGAGTTGTATGTCTGTGCACATGTGCAGGTGTATGGAGTTATCCTTGTATTCCCGCCTACAGCCATTGACCTTTTAGGGAGGCTGTACACAGTAATTGTGGCTCCCTGGCAAGGGAAATGCTCTGGTGTTTAGGTTGTACAGGTGTGAGCATCCATGTTTAAGGGCCCTTATTCTAAATTTGACTTCTCAGTCTCAGCGTATGTATACCAGCTCTAAGGAAGATGTACTAGCCTCCTTATCCACAGGAGATCTACTAGCCTCCTTACCCATGGGGATGTACTAGCCTCCTTACCCACAGGATATTTTATGTGCTTATGTCAGTGCAATGCTTATAATACCAAGATATCCAACTGTGCAACTATGCCTTGGAGGGTAGCCCCACCATATAAAGAAACTGTTGTAACGTAGTGCAGGAAAAATGTATGTATGATGAACTCTGGAAGATTTTATACATGTCTTTAACTCAGAGTTGGCTGCCTATTGTGACTGCAGGTTGCAAGACCCGAACCTTGCATACATCTGTACCCCTGGCACTTTAATGCAATAGGTAGCCTGTGTGTGTGATGCAATCATTTTTGTCATTTAGCTTGTTGTCACTTCGCTGCTAACTCCCACATTTAATAACTATAGATCATATTTTAAGAAATGCTCAGATATTGTCATATTTAGCAAAAATTGGTCATCATTAAGACTCCATCAGAATAATAGGTTCACACTAAATTAAATACAGAGTCACCAAGATATCATATTTGATAGTCGTTGTACCTCTATGTGCATACACAGTCTTTATACAGTGTTAAATAACTGTGAAGTACCTTAGTATAACAGAGTAAAACAGATTGGTGTAGCACAATGCTGTTGGTAGAGGTTATTAATACGATACTTTTTTAGATGTGTATCACTTTATTGTTTCTCTTTCCCACACAGCATCTGTTGAAGTAATTGCCATTGTAAAAGCCTGTGAGAATACATTCTGTGCCTTTTGTTTCATGCCCAAGCCCTTCTTTTAAGAAAAGAAAAATGTGACGTACATCAAGAACAAGTAGAACATTTCTATTCTTTAAACAAAGGTTTTTCCCGTGAAGACGGAATATAAAGTCATTCCATCATCATCTAATATTCATGTTTAAACAGTTTAGACAAGAAAGCTGCTTGCTAAATGGCTGTAATACAGCCCTCAAATCTGGGTTTAAATCCACTAATGCAGAGACATACAGATGGAGGAGTCATTTATTTCAAATTACTTTCATTTTACAAGAAGATATAATGTTTTTTTTATTTAGTTTATTTAATGGCAGTGGAAAATCCCAATTGACAGACCCATATGCTTGGGTGAAAGCATGCAAATACATTTGCATACACTTTTACCAGAATGACAAACACCTTTTAATATAACTGCAAGTTTCTTTTTAGTAAGGCTCTTTTAATCATTGTAGCTCTAGAATAGTGATTGGTTATCATGTGTTCTTATTTTTCATTCCCCGCTATAGCTATTCATTTGCAAGTGCCTACAGTGATATTTTGCTTATTTAGTAACTCCATAAGGTTGCTCTATGCTTTGCATATGTGCTCATGGTTCATATACATATGTCACACTGCACAATCTTTCCTGGTACCAGTTCATTGGGTTGTTAAAGGGAATTTAACTTGTAAATCCAGTAAGCGCATATTTTGACTTCTATTACCTTCAATTCATTTTTAATGTGACTTTCACATTGTGCAATGCTTTTTCTGCCATCTTTATGTTAGTGTTCAAAATCTAGTTATGGTTATAGTTAATTATGGTTAGGAGCACCTCTCATAAAATTGTCATCTTGGTTAAAGGTTCAATTGAGTTGTTTATTTGAACAGAAATGTAAGATATAGCCAACACATTTCAGGGAAATTGAGCTCCCCCTCTTTTAGGGCTAACATACAATAAAAATGTGATGTATAGTTCCATCTATGATATATGATAGGTAATAAAATGGTCAACAAGACAACAATAAAAAACAGACAAAAAAATTAATAAAATAATGTAATAAAAGAATAAATGTTGATACATAATGCCAATTGGAAAACTTTTGGGGGAATTCATAAAAACCGGAGCAGACAGTTTTCTTATGGCAACCAATCAGTTTCTCTCTTCAGTTTGTTAAGTTGAGCTTTGGGCAACTACTCCAGATTCTGTCTACTCCAGTTTTATGAATTCCCCGTTTTTATTCTCCTTACCTTAATAAACATAATTACACTGTTGAGGTTTTCTGGTGCTCTTCCTTTGTGAGCTTCCCAAATAGCTACGTCTCCAGCTTCCGGTTCCTGCAGTCTTGTTGGGTCGACAGCAATGCAAACAACATAGCCTGGTTGATTCGCCGTTCATAACCTTCTACTCTTGAGACTGACTTTTGCTGACCGGAGGGTGGTGAGAAAACAACATTTACATTTTAGGCAGTTATACTAGTTGCATCCCAAAATTAAATGTATTGATGGTTTATTGAATATATACATGGACTAAAGGATGTTAACATCTACCAAAGTTCCACTTTATGTGACAAATCCATGTAGTTAGGGGACTCCTCTGTACTATATATGTGTACTTTGAGACCAAAGTACTGTACACAATTATATTTATAGACTAATACATATATACAAATATATGAAATAAATTATAAGTTGTAAATGGCCATGACTACTAACGATATGTATCTTTGTTGTTATTTGTTTCTGTAACGGGTTCCTTTTCAAAATAAATAAGCTAAAGATATAATATGTATACAAATAAAATGGCGGTTCTTTTATTTTTTTTACAGAGCAACAAAATGCAAAGAATAGAGACCCCAGAATGTTTACCCTTGAACTGTCCACGATCACAACAAATAGAACTAAAGAACAGCTGCTGTAAAGTCTGCAAAGGTATGTTCAAATTAATGAAAAATAAAATTCAATTTAAGGAAATGAAAAAAACCATGAAAGCATTTGCATTGTGAAAATAAAAATTGAGGACTACTTAAGTTCAGTTCCAGAACAATGTACTCAAGCCACTAGAAGTATTAATAATGAAAATCACATGATATTTTATATTCCTAATATTGCTCTGTTAGGGTGTTCTGGTAGACTATAGACTGATTAATAGCATGCAATGTCAAGCCGCAGTTTCTAAAGCAAGCAAAATACTTTCTTGTATACGAGGTCTCTAGACTCCAGAGATAGATACATAATCCTGCCACTGTACAAAGCATTAGTAAGACCACCTCTAGAATATGCAGTTCAGTTTTGGGCACCAGTTCACAAAAAGGATGTTGTGGAACTGGAGAAAGGTGCAGCGAAGGGCGACTAAACTCATAAGAGGCATGGAGGAGCTCAGCTATGAGGAAAGATTAGCTGACCTGAATTTGTTCTCTCTGGAGAAGAGGCGATTAAGGGGGCACATGATCACCATGTATAAATACTTAAAAAATGGTCCATACAGTGAGCTTGGTGCCAAATTTGTCACCTTAAGGTCACTGCAAAGGACAAGGGGGCACTCTTTGAGTTTGGAGGAAAAGAGGTTTAATCTTTGCATACGGAAAGGATTCTTCACAGTTAGAGCTGTGAAAATGTGGAATAGACTCCCCCAGGAGCTAGTTCTAGCTAGCTCAGTTAATTGTTTAAAAAAAAAATCTGGATGTATTCCTAAATGCACATAATATTACTGGATATTGAGTTCTTATAGGTATATTAAGCATCAGAGATTGTTGAGCCAGGGAATATCCGATTGCCTTATGGGATCAGGAAGGATTTTTTTCCCCTGCTGGAGCAAATTGAACCATGTTTTAAAGGTTTTTTTTGCCTTCCTCTGGATCAACAGTGGGTAATTGGGGGCATAGTGTTCTGTTTAAGCTTTTCTTCTTCTTTTTTGTTTTTTTCATATCTCTATAGGTTGAACTCGATGGACCTGTGTCTTTTTTCAACCTGACTAACTTTTTAACTATGTGACTATGCTCATATTAGCTCCTCTATATCCTAATAAGTCAGTTCAATAATATTTTTAGATTACTATGTTTTTTCAAAAGTGTGAAGTGCTTTAAAGCAAGATCAGTATTAGCCACAAAATAAGCAGCAAGTTGTAAATACAATGTACTAATAAGCCTAAATTGTGCCTGCCTATCTGTTTGTGTGTCTATCCTATGTTGGCATTACCATTTTTTCTGCATGGTTAATGCAGATCAGTCATGGTTGTAGAATGCACTGTGGCCTTCCAATTTATAATCCAGGGAGAGCTTCCTTTTTGTATTGGCCTCTGGATAACATACAACAGTACTAATCTGAAATCACTCTTCTCATAATTAGAATCCATCACGAAGTGCATTGTGGAATCTAAGTCAAGATCCATTTATTGTCATAGTTACTGGCCTTATGATATAGCTGTATTATTGTCAAAATATAGTCTACTTTTATTGATTGGGATAACACAATTATCACAATAACACAAATAACACAATAGGAAACATAATGAAAAAAAAGTTTTTTTTCTTACCTATTTAACTATTTTGCAGCGATATCATATCAGAATGTACACAATAAACTATAGCCAATCCACCAGATTATAGTGTGAATCTTTTTATTTCCTTCTAAAAGTCAAGACGAATGGTAGAAGTGCCTGCCACTCCTGCTTTCCATTTCTGTAGCCCTACCATGAACCGCATTGGAAATTTACATCCGGTATTTTGTGGGTGTACAATATAAAGCAGTGTTACAGATAATTGAAGCTTTACATTACAGTGGAAGTTCCTGTGTAAGTGATTGTCAGAGCTTTGTGATAGCTTACACATTCTGTCCACACCTACCAGCTAGAGAAGTCTCACCATAATTATACATGATAGGTTTCCAAGAGGAACACCTGCTCAAGGTCAGCACAGAAATGCAGTGCTGTAAAGTAATTTTTTTTTCAGGGCTTGTTTTGCCTTAGCTTCTCCTAAATACATGTTCATTAACTAAACGTATGTTTAGGAAAATTGCTTATTTGTGCATGCAGTGCTTCAATGCCGTATTTTGTGGGATGGTAAGATTCCAACACAGTTGAGTAAAAAAAAATACACTGCAAGGGTTAATAAGTGCTCATTTTGTCTAGGGTAGTCAAATAAAGCAGATATACACACCTTATCCTTGGTACCAATGGGCTGCTAGACTAGTCCCCACAGCCTATTTTTCCACAGGCTCTGGCCCTTCAGCTGTGGTGAGACTACAAATCCCATTATGCATCTGTCTTTGGGAATCATGCCCGTAAGAGAATTGTACAATGCCTCATAAGATTTGTAGTTCCACAACAGCTGGAGGGCCGGAGTTTGCCCACCCCTGCCCCAGACCAACCTAACACTTAGCCCTTGCAGTGCAGGAAAAGGAAAAGTACAGTGCATTTTTAGTCAGCACATATTTTGAATGTGGAAGTGTTTAAAGTATTTTTTATGCAACTTTTATGTTTTACTTGATTGCTCTGCTATGTTTTTGGTATTGTATTAAATATAGAGCTTTGTAACCTCTTCCTTAACAACTGTTAACATAAGATATCAGCCAAACTGGCAGATCATGATTTTCTTCAAGATTTGACTGACTCGCATTGTAAACAGGAGCAGTAAACCACAAATAATAGTGTAGCACTACAAAGCAGAAGGCCTGCAAGTGTAATGAGCCACATGGCTGCCCATGTATACATATATATGGTTTGGAAATATTTATGTACATGGGACAGTCATATTTGCATGCCATGTTTAGAGGCTTTGCTTCCTCCTTAGTAGTGCTGCTACTGCCTACTGCCAATTCAGGTTACCACTCTTCTTTAGAAAGATTTAACTAAGTGAGGCTACATCATGTGGTGTACTAGACCTACCCTGTTATACTAAGAATGAATCCAATTTCCATGCCTCCTTAATCATTCAGGAATTGTTATGGCATTAACTAACAAAAACATTTCATCATTAGGTTATGACTTCTGTTCAGAAGGACATAATTGTGTGGAATATTCAGTCTGCAAAAACCTGGATGACAAAGCTGTCTGCATCTGCCGTGATGGTTTCCGGCCTCTTAGAGAGGACAATGCCTATTGTGAAGGTACAGTTCCTGTATTCTAACATAATAAAAGTATAATGTGCTTGAATTGGGGAAAACTACAGTGATGTAGGACAACCCTTTGCTCTGCCTCACTAAGTCTTAGTATACTAAGGTTATGTTTGATTGCTATGTGTAATAAACTACATTCCTAAATAAAGGTTTCTTTATTTAGGAAAGTAAGGACATTGGTGTTAGAGACTTCAGTGGCTTGATTTTGTTCAATTTGTAAATAGGTGAAGTGTGACACGTTAATTTATAATTTTGTAATGATTTCTACATAGAGATTAAAGTGTTAAAAAAAGGAAAATACAGTTTGATAACATTAGGTCTTACTGGGAACTTTACTGCTTGGTAGAGAATGTTCCAACTTTTGACTCCCCCTCTCCCCCTTTCTTTTCTTCTCACTGTCATATATATGCTGTTTAGGCAAGTACCCCCTCATTTTTGTTTTAGTACTATACTGTAAAACCTTCAGTAAATATGACGGATAAAAAAGGAATAATGCAGTGGTCTTGGAAGAATATGTCCATACATATAAATAACACTGGAGATTTGTCTTTAGACATTTGTAATGAATGTACAAGTACACAGGTAATATAAGTATAAAAACCTCAAAGAAAACCTTAAAAATTATACCAAAAAAACACACACACACAACAATAGGCAAAGTAATATTTAGGGTGCTTGTTATATAAAATACCGTGCCGAACAGTAGTTACATGCACTTAGACTATTTGTTAAATTACATATACTTTGTCCATGTAAGGCTATATTTATCCCATTGCTCTTTTCCTGCAATTTTTATGCATTGTGCAACACATACAATCACATCGAAACCACTGGTAAAGCTTTATTGAGGAATAGCGAAAGTGTCAAGGCATTGGGTTTATAGATACATTCAGATTAGGGTTTTTCTTGGTGCAGGTATGTTAATATCACACAAAATACATGATGCATTTGTAAATAAATTGTATGTAGTTGAACTCTGTAGACAATGGGTCCCCTCAGCAAAGCTGATAAGGATTGCCAAGAAAGGATGAGAAATATTCATATGCAATATTTCCTGACCATAATATAAAAAAATGCAGAACCACAATACATTTTCGTTAAAATGCAGTGCTGTCATACAAAATAAATAGTATTTGCATTCTCGAGTATTTCATTAATTGGCCATAAAATACGCAATATATAAAATAGGTGGATTTCAGTTTAGTCAGCTTTATTTGTTTTTATATTCCTTATCTGTTTGCACACAATATAATATTTGAATACTATTCATTGTTTCTGGTGACCTACAATATTCTAAGACAATAGTCTTTAAAATAGATATCCTTTAATTGCCATTATCAGTAGTATTTAACTACCTCCGGGCCGGCCGTAGTAAAAAAACGGCCGGCTGGGAGCTCTCTAGATCTGAGTGGGCGTCTTTAGACGTCCGCTCAGACACGCCCCCCCAGCATGGGAAATGCCCGATATTTAAAAACAGGCAGCGATGCCTGTTAACATAAAAGCGATCCGCCGGCTGTAGAGAAATTAAAGCCCCCCCAAATGTTAAGTTACACATTAAAAAAAACAAAAAAAATGTATAGTCCCCACCCATACATACACGCATGCAAACATGGGTCCCAAACATACGTGCAGAAAAGATGATTGCGCCCATTACGCCGCACATGGTACATATCGCCGCGAACGTCGGAGTGAGAGCAATAATTCTAGGGCCATCAAACACTAAACCGATGAGCGGTAAAAGCTTTTAAAGTGTCGCCTATGGCCAATTTTGGGTATGGTAGTTTTCTGCTATTTCGTGGGTGTGCGCAATTTTAAAGCTTGACATGTTTGGTGTCTATTTACCCGACGTGACCCCGACTTTTATATTTTACCAAAAAAACTGGGTAATAATAAATGTTTCCTAACTTAATCTAAAAAAACTTTTTGTTTCCAAAATTTTCAGTAGTTTTTCCTAATTATAGTAAAAAAAATAATCATAGTGGTGATTAAATACCACCAAAAGAAAGCTCTATCTGTCCCCAAAAAATGGTATAAAATTCATTTCAGTATAGCGTTGCATGACTGAATAAACGTCAGTCAAAATACTGCAGCGCTGAATACTGAAAAATGGCCTGGCCAGGAAGGGGGTCTAAACACCTGGTCTTCAAGCAGTTAAAATATAGCAATCATTTGTTACACAATTGAAAACATAGTTTAGATGCTTCAACAAATACATGTTATTTTTAATACTATTGAGGACTTGGTTGACATCTATTTTTGACAATGAAATGAGGCATAAGTAAGATATTTCTATATTGTTTTGCAATATGTGATTTCTGATGTATCCAAGTTTGTCTTAAAATGGCAGCTCTGATGATTCCTTGAAGCATATAATTGCAAAATATTTTGGGGAAAATGAGATGTTCCTATTAGGATAGTGTACTCTGGCATGTGTGTGTAATAGAGGCCAGGGGTTCAGTGATAGAAATGCATTTATAGAGTACAGAAATCTTATACCTTATGCAGTGTTTGATGGAAACCATAGTGATTCTGCTACTGTGCTACTAAAAAGTGTACTGAAATGTTATATCCATGTTTATTTTGATTGATAGGTCTTTCACAGCTGAGAAATGAGAATTACATTTATAATATCATCTGTGCTTGTATTCAAAGATGTATTCCAATAATATTTGAAAACAAGTATATAAGATTAAATGTAATGAAATATGACTTGACAGTGACACTTTAAGATGATTCACAAGTTCTGCAATTGCTCTGCAATTAAATAGAGGTAACTGAAGGAATATCACCATTAAAGCTTAAAAAGACCCCATATGCACATTTAGTGACCTGCACAGCTATTATCAGCCTGAATCCCCACTGTGATCACTGCCATTAGCTAGGTAGCATTATTTAGAGTTCTGTGGCCTATAATTTGTGTTGCATGTGATAACAGTAGTACAATAGTAATCGAGTAAAGCTATTTCTTCCAGGGACCGGCACATTAAAGTGGCCATAGATGTTAAAGGACAGTGAGCTCATGCCTGCCCAAAAATGTTATTTTGTGTTTCTTTTATTACAGATATATTTATAAACACATGAGCTTGTAGCACAGGCTTATATATGCCTATGCTGGTGGGAGTTAAGCGGGTCCAGATACTTTAAGTCCTTTTTTATCTTGGGGAATAGAATTACCAAGTGCTTCTTGTTCTCTTCCAAAAAAGAGTTAGCTTGGGATGTCTGAAGCTATGTACTTATGCCCATAAATATGTGCATTGTTGCCCAATCCAGCCTTCCTGATTAGGGAAAAAATCCCTTTTAAAGTCTATGGACACTACAAGGTTTAGTGTTAATTTCTGAACATGCTGACATTTTATTCAAGACCAGAGCACGTAAAGCCCAACTCCAGGTAAATCCCCCTCCCTTTTTTAAATTTTTTTTTTGCTACCATACATTTTCTACAAGAGTCTTCAGCCTGATTACATGATGTCAGGGCTCCTAGCCCTTCTTCTCTTCCTCTGGTGGTGGGCAGTACTGATGGTTGCAGAGAATAGTGCTCATGTAATGATTTGCACTGTTATCTGCAGCATTTCACTGTGAGTACAGGGTTGCTTCAATGATGGTGCACAGGAATTGGGCTCAATGATGTTGGGCTTGGTTCATAGTGTAGTTTGAGTGGCGTTGAACCTTGAAGTGGTTAGTCAGCGGGAGACAGCACCAGAAAGGAGTACAGAATTGCAGCTTTTGTCTGAACTGCTAGGCAATTTTTTTTCAAATTTTATTTTAAACTGAAGCTGGGCTTTAACCACTTGCCGTCCGCCCGTAGTAAAAAAACGGACGGATGGCACTGCAGCATAAGGTTTCGCACATGCAATTTTAAGGCTTGACATGTTTGGTGTCTTTTTACCCGACGTGACCCCGTCTTTTATATTTTACCAAAAAATTGGGTAATAATAAATGTTTTATCATTTAATATAGGGGAAACTGTTTTTTTTTTAAATTTCGGTAATTTTTCCTTAATATAGTAAAAAAATAAAAACCCCAGTGGTGAATAAATACCACCAAAAGAAAGCTCTATATGTCCCCAAAAAAGGGTATAAAATTCATTTCAGTACAGCGCTGCATGACGGAATAAATGTCAGTCAAAGTACCGCAGCGCTGAATACTGAAAAATGGTCTGGATGGGAAGGGGGTTTAACAACACGGATGTCAACTGGTTAAGCAACATGGTACATTTATGTTCTGTGCTGCTGAATTGCTATGATTTCCAAAGTAAGTTTACATTGGTCTTGGTTAGTTATTGGTCATGCTTTTACCAATGTTTTTTTCTCATGTTTTAAGCACATTTCTATCTTTACGAATTCATACAAATTTCTAAGTGTGTTTAAAGAATGAGTCCACCTAGTTAATTGAGTCCTTCCACTGCCAGCAGCTTTAAAATCATGATTTATAGTATATGCACTTGCCTACAGTGGTGTGTCTGGAAGCATGCACAAAAATACAATGAAGGGAAGAGTTTTCTGTTATATGAAAGAAGACATCCCTATTGAGTCATATTATTAGCTCGTGGTTCGCTAATCAGGTAAGCTGGTGCACATAGGGTAATTCCAGAGGTACCTTGTTTACAACAGACAGAGTGCATTTTGTCCATTTATCTGCATACTTTATTAGCCAATAAAAAGAAATTTGAATTGGCAGCACTCTTGAAGTTCACAGTACAGCCTTTAAAACACAACAAGATAAAGAGACATATTAAAATATTAAATGTTATTTTTTTTTTTCAAAATTGCTTGATTTCCATGCACATATTAAGCTTAAGTGTTTAAAAAAGTGCATTTTCTTTAATACCTGACATGTGATTGTGATGTGACATAGGGTAATAGCATAATAAACCCTTAAAATTATATCCATCACATATCTTATTAGGTTATGCCACTGCAGGCTTTTTTTAAAAACACGGTGCCAAATATGAAGTATTCCAGCCTTGATGTTTATAGAGGATTATGTAGAGT